AGGGTTAAACCGGGTGGCTCCTTGGAGGCAAGGATTCTGAGGCTCCGTCTAACATACTTTGGACATGTTATAAGGAGAGACCGGTCCTTGGAGAGGGACATCATGCTTTGGAGGGTGGAGGGACAGCGCAGGAGGGGAAGGCCCTCTATGAGGTGGATTGACTCAGTGACTGCGTTAATCGGGATGGGAGTGTCAGAAACAGTGCGACTGACAAAGGACAGAGCAGAGTTAGGGCTGTTGTACCTAGGGTCGCTATGAGTCGCAAGCGACTCGACGGCACATAACAACAACAACAACATTCATTGTTGCACATTTTTCCCCCCACTGCCTCCCCCAATCCACTTTACAATGCACCTCTTGTTCCAGATTGTTGTTACACATATAATGCTTAATCATATATTCTTTTCAGACAGTTCTTCCCTCATCTGTTCCAATGCAGTGTTCAGTATCTATCCACTCTTTTCCTATTCTCCCTCCAACCTCCCATAATCAGTCTTATATCAGTGGTGTTATACAGTATTTGTCCTTTTTGAGATATTTCACTCAGCATACCGTCTTCCAGGCTCACCTATATTGTGTAATGTTGTACAAGTTCACGGTTTTTCAGCGCTGTGTAATATTCCATTTTGTGAATGTATCATAGTTTGTCTATCCATTCATTTGCACTGATGTTTCTTCTATCTACCAGGAGAGAATGAAATAGACAAATGGAACCTTCTAAGAATCAAATCTCCTCAGGAAAAAAAACAACAAAAGAAAATTTCCTCAACACATAGAAAAGTATACATGCAAAACCAAAAGCCAGTACAATTATCCAGGGAAAAAGACGTGTAAGCAGGGTCCAGACAAGGATGCTTACTGTCACCACTGCCATTCAATATTGCATTGGAAGCGCTTGCTATGACAATATGGCAAGAAAATGAAATAAGAGAACATCCAGATCAGCAAAGAGATGGTGAAACTGTCACTTTATGCAGATGATATGGCACTGTGCAAAGAAAACCCCAAGGACTCAACAAAAAAAACAAAAAAACTTGTTAGAGCTAGTAGACCAATTTAGCAGTGTGGCAGGATACAAGATTAATATACAAAAGTCAATGGAATTTTTCGCCAGTAACAAAGAAAACACAGAAAAGGAAACCAAGAAAGCAATATAATTTACAATAGGCAACCACAAATTGAGATACTTAGGAATAAACCTAACTAGACACAAAAGACCTTTACAAAGAAAACTTTATAAAACACTTCTGTTAGAAGCAATAAAAGACCTAAATAAAGAGGAAAATATTTCTTATTCATGTATAGGAAGACTCAATAGAATGAAAATGACACTCCTACCAAAATCAATCTATGTGTTTAATGACATTCTAATACAGACAGTTATGGAAAGGGATTAGGTCTTTTGTTCAGAGTTGCTATGAGTCGCGCTCAACTCCATAGCAATCAACAACAACAATAACAATACAGATACCAAGTTTGTTTTCAAAGAGATAGAAAAGGCAATTGGCAAGTTTATTCAGAAAGGAAAGAGACCTTGAACAAAGAAAGCCTTTCTGAAAAACAAAAATAAAGTAGGAGACATAGTACTCCCTGATCTGAAAACCTACTACACAGCTGTAATAATCAAAACAGCATGGTACTGATACAATGACAGGCACAGAGACCAAAGGAACAGAATTGAGAATCTAGAAGTGGACCTATCTATGGTCAACTTATACTCGACAAAGAAATAAAACCTATTAAATGGGGAAATGACAACCTCTTCAACAAATGGTGCTGGCAAAACTGACTACCTGTAGAAAGCTGCCAAAGGATCAATATCTCACATCATATCATACACAAAAATTAACTCAAGATGCATCAGAGACCTAGGGGTAAAGCCCAAAACTATAAAGTTCATCAGAGACAAAGTGGGCCCCAACTTAGATGGCCTAGCCCATGGTATAAAACCATACTATTACTGATTGTTCTTTTATCTAAGCCTCTTTGTTTAGACTCAACAAGATCTGGGGGAGGGTCTTTGTATTTAAAGTTGATTGTTCCTATATTTTGGAGGAATATTTTTCTAAGTTATACAGCACTCTTCTGTCAATATTCTGTACTGAGGTAATCTGGCGTTGCTGTGATACTGAACTTTATGCCACCGGGTGTCAAATGCCATAATGGTTACCCATGGTGGACAGTGTTTGGCGGAGCTCCCAGTTAAAGACAGGCTTGGAAGCAGGAGCGGCATCCACTTCCTAAACAACATGCCTCTGTACACTCTATAAAGTTTGATAAATGTGATAGTTATTTATAGAGGGGCTTCAGGCCTTTTGTTCATAGGGTCTCTATGGGTCATGCTCGACTTGAAGGCAATAAGCAACAACAACAATAATAAAATGGTATAAAAAGGCTGAAAAATCCAGCCAGAAATACACAACCAGTAGAAGATAAAATTGATGAATGGGACCTTTGAAAGATTAAAGCCTTGTGCACATTGAAAACTTCTTCCAACAGGATGAAAAGAACCTACTGTGGTAGGGGGGAACCCATTTGGCAATACCATCTCAGACAAGGGTCTCAAATCAAAAGTTTACAGAACCCTACAGGGCCTCCACAAGAGAAAGACTGATAACACAATTACAAAATGGGCAAAAGACATGGAAAGAATTTTCACAGAGGAAAATATTCAGATGGCCAATAGACACATGAAGTAATGCTCCAAATCACTGGCAATAAGAGAGATGTGAATCGAAACCACAATGAAATACAGATTTAACTTGTGTTCACTTCCATTTTGTCTAACTTTAGGAGCTTATGTATATGACGCAATTGAAATTACAAGGGCTTGGGTCAGGCACACCTTAGTGCTCTAGGTGATATCCCTAAAATACAAGGTTGTTGTTGATTGCCATTGGCTCAGAGTGATCCTGTGAACAAAAGACCTAAAGCACTTCTGTAACTATAGTCATTTCTCCAAGTACGTAGTTTCCAGAGGCATGTGGTTTAGGAAGTGGATGCCACTCCTGCTTCCAATCCTGTTTTAAATTGGGAACTCCACCAAACACTGTCTACCATGCCTCTGATGCCCCAATGACACAAGGTTCAGCATCACAGCAAACCCAGATGATCTCAGTACAGCAAACTGACTGTAC